CCTTAACCAGTCGGTGCCACCATGTTTTGTTAGCATGGGGACAAGAACACGACCATTCCTTCTCGAGCCCAGACAAAGGGTGCCCTTTACTTTGTCGTCCTCTAGGAGGCCCAACCCCCTTCGGCACGCGATAGCGCGCGTAACCTAGCTTACTGAACAAATCGAACACTTGAGGGCCACTCGAGACACAACACCTGAATCCGTACTCGTCTGTTCTCCATGCGCGTTCGCCGGACGTGCGTCAGTCTGAAATAGGGACCTCCAAACGTTTGAGATAAGGGGCCGAATTAGGGATTTGCCGAAATTTCAAAGAACGGAAAATAAGTAAATATAAATGAGCAAAATTAAATAAATAAACCTAAATAAGCGTTTAAATACAAAAATGTAAACTACAGCAACCGTTTTAAAAATGTAAAATCGGTCAATACATATACTGAAAAAAAAAATAATTACGTTATTAATCATGATGTTAGAAAAATTAATGTGACCCAGGAGACTCGGACATGACTCAAAGCACTAAGGAACTTTGGATATTCATAGAGGGAAGAAGACTAATAAGATTTGTTGATCTGAGGATAACAATATGCAATTGTTATGATACAATAAAATAAGCACAGTGATGGAAGTGATGCACCACTTGTGCCAAACACCGCCATGAACGCAAGTCTGCTACATGTCACACCAAAATATTATTTGTGCTTAAAATAAAGTTTTGAGAAGGCATTAATGTTTTAAGAGAAGTACAAGAGAAGGGAAATGCTACAAACATTTGTTTACCGGTCCTTCTATTCACAGTAGTTAGAATGCGCCCGTGAGCGGCACTGGCCATGTCATCGTGTGATGTTCCAGATGACGATGTCGGCGATGTCACGAAGCTAAAAGTCGCGAGAAAGTTTAATGAAATGGTGGTACGGCGGCTGCTATAATAAGGCAGAACCAGGGTCCCATAGTCCTGATGAAATCTCTTGATTTTCATCTCAGCCGCGCCTCTTCGCCGTGGCTCTATCGCCGCTCGCGTCAACCTTCTCCATCTTGCACAGGCGCGCGTGCGTCGAGCATCACCGCTTGGCATCGGCGTGCGAGGAGAAGTGGCTTACGCGGTGAAACCCCTGGGGTTATCGCGAGGTGCTCGGAAATTATCTCCAGCACTAATACAGATCGAACTTGTTTGAAGGGATAGCTTTACAGGCCACACTTTACAGAGATTTTGACCTCAGGGTTGTCGTCGCCGCGCGAAGAATGAAAAAGAACCTTTTTCTCTCCCCTCCACGAACGAGGAGGGGGAAGTTAAGACTTCAAGTCGACCGTGCAGCGCGATGAAAGCGAAGAAGCCTGCCCTGCCGTCTATCCAAGAATGGCGCGGCGAAGAGAAAATCTTGGTGTCGTTTGGTTGAAAGACCTGTTTTCAAACAATACTCGCGTTATGAGAAATCCCACTTTGGCAGTATTCAGTTACTACGCGTAATGTTGGGTGGATTTTAAACCTTCCACCGCGCTTACCCACTTACGTCACGGATCACCGAGAACTAGTTGTAGTCGTCAGTTGCATCCACTACGCCAACCACAACGGCTATGAGAATTAACCACGTCTCGCTTTCGTCTTCAGGCACGTGACGGCACTATATTCCACTCGCATTGCGCGACCGTGCTACAGCTATCGCTTTCGTTTGTTCGCAGATTGTGGCCAAAAAGGACGAATTCGTGTCTACATTTTAGGTCGGCATCTAATTTTAAAAGGCAAGGCCTAAAAAAGTAAAAAAGGCTTGGTCGGTGCAAGGTGTACTATGCCATACATTTCCGTAGAACTACGAGGTGGTGGCACAAGAAATGAATTGGGGTGATATATGAGAAACCTTGGGTTATGCACCCGTTCCGTATGTGTTGATTGAAGCAGCTTCAAATGCGTCCACGGTACAAGCGAAGTCGCGTGAGGTGACGTCACGAGACCTGCAGACTAATTCAGTTCCCCGCTAAAGTGAAATTTTTGTTTGCGTTTCTAGCATTGTGTTTTCTTTTGATTTTAGCTGTTTGTGTTATCTGTAGCGTCTTAGTATATGTCTGTATTGCGTTTGTTCATTTTGTGGCTAGTATTGATTAACCTGTGCCTCATCCTGCGCCTCAAAAGACAGATTCATCTTTAATGTGATGGTTATTTTGTTTATAGTGTACCAATAAGTAGGCCTTCGTGGCCGTTATGGACACTACCAAAAAATAGAGTATATTATTATTATATTATTAAAGTTAGCCGGAAAATTGGCGTCACGTGACCTGGACACCAGTTATACTCCTTGCTAAATTTGGGCTGAAAAATGAATGTCACGTGACCTAACATCAAGTCACTTGTACACCTATTCGTTTTCGCGGCTACCTTTAACGGGAACATTGATGTCACGTGACCAACCCTCACGTGGTGTATACACCAATTCAGTTTCCCCGCAAAATTTGGTGGAGAGATGTATGTCACGTGACGCGCTAAATTTAGCGGAGAAACGAAATCTGTGTTTAGTTCATCTGACGTCAGGTAATGTGAAATACATTTCCTAGCCAAATTTAGCGGGGAAACTGAATTGGTGTATATACCACGTGAGGTTTAATCACGTAACATCAATCTTTCCGACAAAATGTGGCGGGGAAACTGAATTGCTGTATAGGTCACATGACGTCAGTTCACGTGACATCGATTGACGTCAGGTGGTCCGACGTCAGCTGACTTATACCCGAGAAAGACGTCACTTCCATGACGTCACTTCGGTGGCAACGTTTTGGTGATATCGACGCGCAACGGGCACCCCCTTCCAAGCGCGGAAAAATAGGTATAGTTCTACATCAAAAGGCAAACCTAATTTTGAATAAATAGTCAAGGTAGCTCCCGCGCTGCAGTCGATCTAAAGGGCACTAAACTCCGGTTCAACTCTGGCTCCAATGCCTCTAACCATAGCCTCCTCTATACGGAGAAAGCCTGGCGCGTCGCATGAAAAGACGGCCGCCGTAAATGGGAAAGGAGGGGCGGAGAAACGGGAGCGGAGAGAACCTTGCCTGCTAGCGCCACAAAAGAGCAAGCGGCCAAACGCAGAAACAATCTTTTTTTTTTTTTCTCTCTCTTTTCTTGTCGCTATCGTGGAGAGGAGAAACTCAACGTCTACCCTTTCCCGTTTCTCCCTGCGCCCTTTCGAATCGCCGCGCCCGATTCTCCCGGAGTACGAAAACGACGGTGACGAAAACACAAAAACAAGCGTGGTTCGGGGAGCGGCCGCTCATGACCCAAGCGCTCGCTGTCTAGGTCTGCCCTTTCTGCGTTGCGCTACCATATTGGTCACCGTTCGGCGCGCTCCTCCTCTCCTTTTTCCTGCGGCCGCGCTCCCTGTGGCTCCGTCGTCGATGTGCCAGGCTTTTTCCGTATAGAGGAGGCTATGCTCTAACTCTTGCAGAAATAGGGGCTCCCCTTTTAAAGCTGACCGGTACGACGTATACCAGTTGTTTTCTCGGTCCCTAATAAGCTGTCAAGAATGTGCCGCAATATAAATTTTTCCGCTGATGCGGCCGACAAATGCAAAACTAACACCGCGAAAAATGCACAGAATGCACAGCGGGAGTTGTTGAACAAAATTCCAATACCATGCGGGTCAGTATACATCGGTCAGACTGGCCGATGCTACACCGATCCCGCACGTGAATATGACGCGGCCACACGAGCAACCCCATCAGGACATCTGGCGACACACTGCAGCCGCTGCCATTGCTCCCCGTCATTTAAAAACACAACATTTCTGGCCAGATAGCCCGATAAGATATTCAGGAAGCTTCACGAGGCTTTTTGAAATCAAAACAAAAGGCAAGATGTGAACAAGTGAGATGTAACCATGTTGAATTAACCTGAGACTGGGGTAGAGAAGAAACATCAAAACGTAGAAGGGACAGAAAATAGACAGGACGACGTCTCAAACTCAGCTCAAACTAGAGCTGAGTTTGAGACGTCGTCCTGTCTATCTTCTGTCTTTTCTACGTATTGATGTTTCATCTCTACCCCAGTCTCAGGTTAATTCAACATGGCTAATATTCACCAGCTCGCCTGCATCCTTACGATTTTTTCTAAGTGACACGTCTATAACCTTACCGACGAAAGAATTTAATTTTTGAGAAACGGTTCTACACCTTGCCTTGTCGTGACGAAGGGGTTTTTCACGGCTACATACGAGATTTGTTTTTTCCATAGATGTTAGTTGCGAGCGCGCCAGTGCTTACGTCTCTTCTTGTCCTTGCGTTTTTTCGGGGCCTGTCTTCAATGCTCTTTGCGCCTTTATTTTTGTTAGCCTAAATGTTAGCCTAAAAAAAACCTGCGGAATATAAAAAAGTCCACGTGACGCCTGCCTGTCGCGCTTGCATTGCTTTCAGACGTGCTCTGAAGGAACACGGTCCATCTTATCACTGGCGCGCTGTTTGAGACGGGGTTTCGTAATGGTGAAGGCTCCAAGATAAGCGCGACAACCCGTTGCCGCAAATAACTGACTCAGACAGCGCGCTAGTAGGCTGTTCGATTCATCAGCACCTCCTGCACCGGTGCAGGTAACTCGAACGAAGTGATAAGGTGGACATCGTTCCTTCAGAGCACGACCGAGAGCGTGGCTAGAGCGATGTACGGGATCGTTGTCACGTGATTTTGTAATATGTCGGAGGCTTTCTTTTTAGGCTGGAATGATTTGCGCAGTGCATACCATCTTGCAAATATCTTACATGGGTCTTTCTCAATGTGACCTACAACTAAACCATTCACGCCTTGACCCTTAAACAAATAACTCAAAAGCAAGCTAATTAGTCTTAATTATTTAAATAGCAAGGCGCACTAAGAAAACTTCTCGCACTTTCCTAAGACGCTTCCTAATGACATACATTTAATTTCACTCCCGCAGCGTGCTTCGTTTTTTACAATTTGGTAGAAGTTATCTGGGACACCCTGTATATTATTTTCAACTTTTATCACTTTTGTCTTTAAAAACTTTCAGCTTTTATAGCTTGGGTAACAGCCGCCACTGTTTCGTCTCTGCGAAATCAAAACGAGTTTGGTGAGTATAATATAAAAGAATGCTAACAAATTCTCATATCATGGTACTACATTCAAACATTATAATTGTTTAAACAAAGTTTCGTTTATTTTACCTTTCTAATTCAATATAAGCCCACATTTTTTTAGTTTTTATCTTGTTTTGCCCTTCACTCACTCATATTTAACACAGATTCGTTTTGGGATGTGAATTAAGCGATGACAAGAAACATAAAAACTTGCGCTCAGGTGTTTCTCTTGTACTCATTGTCAGTACAACCTCAGAAGTGTCAGAATGCATCCTAGGTTGTAAAACATTATCAAACGTAAAGTCCAAGGCGTGGGGGAACCAAATGCGTAATACCGCCTCTTAATCTGTTCAGCTTGTATTTATGTACAGCGATAACTAAGCACTCGTCGCCGTTTCCTGCCTATTTATGTTCATGAAATTACAGTAGTGCGTTCACTTTGTGGAGCATTTACAGACATTCTACGGTGCCTGTAGATGTTCGTGAAGATACCGATATTGTTATTATTATTCACAATAAACCTATTATACATACCGGTAACAATCTTACTACAAACAACCTGCGCGTCGATGGACTTTATGCATACAAAATTCACTCCACATTGCAACTTTATTGAACTGCAGATAAGTTGGAGCGTCCCATGATGTCTCTGGGAGTCCAAATTGTGTATGATGATGCGTTTCTGCGAAGCGACGTGAAACTCTTGGCTGGCGTAAAACAATATCTTTCAGCATTGCTCAATGCCGTGAGTAGTTTTGAGATTTTTATTCTCCTTGTAAAATTACGGTCATATAAGTGTCTAAGTGTGCCTAAATGACTCTTGCAACAGTCATTGTTCATTCAGTAATTCAGAAATGTTCCTTCTGCAAGGCTGAACTGAGATTTGCGGATATGATCAATCCTGTTATTGAACTGATATTGACCCAAACAACTCATGTGAGTATGGAAACTCTTTGAGTGCATGAATTTTATTCCAATATTAAGTGATTAGTAGAAGAAGGGGTGTTCAAATTCTGAGCGCGTGGGTTGACAGGTTATACTCATACATAAATGTGTTGTTCTTTTCAGCATTTTTTTTTGTTTAAGAATAATGTGTTTGTCTTTGTGCGTACTATTAAATGTTTCATCATTTTAGAGGCTGATCATTCTGTTGAGAGTTTTTTAATGCAAATTTATTTTTTACTTCAACTGCGCGAATAGTGAATTCTCAGCTCGAATCGAAATTGAATAGAATAGTTGCCAAAACGTTTGGCGTCTAATGAAATAACAAATACAAAAATGTTAATGAGTAATTCACAAAAACATAGAAAATTTGGTCTAACTCAGCAAAAACACGTGCTCCTTCTACCACAGGCCCGCTGAACGAATAACGACTCGCACGGATGAAGAATGGTTTTAAGGTGTTAAGATCACTCGAAACATTCAGCAAAGGACTTGACGCGCAACTAACTAAATTGCACTTTTGTTATACTAGCGTTGCAAAGTAAGTGGTAACACAGAACGTCAGAGGTAGTTCTCAGAGCCTATTCGATGGAACGATTGGAATGCTCCAGAGAAGGCAGTAATAAGATTACTGTAATCAAATTACTTTTGCTGCAATGAGTAATAACATTAATAATTTCTTGGGCTGGTAATTTAGTAATATAATGGCTTACTCACGTGCGGTAAATTTAGATAATTACTCGTTACTGAGCAGAACGTAAGGGCGCCAGTGAGCTGGTATATATCACACATTTTAGTGAAAAACTCGAGACTGAGGTATTGATAGACGACGACAAGAAAGAGAAGGAGAACGTTGAGACGTTCTCGTTCTCTTCCTTGTCGTCGTCTGTCATTACCTCAGTCCCAGGTTTTTCACTAAAATGTTTGACTCATTACTGTCGTAGTTACTTCTTGCGATGCCCATCTGAGTGCAAAAAATCTGTGACGTGTGCCTCGGGAACGAGACACACCCACAAAGGGGGGGGGGGGGGGCGGGGGGGCGGGGGAAGGGGGGGGGGGGGGAGTCGAAAGGCGAAGCGGGTAGAGAAAAGCTTTCATGTAAAGACCTAGCTCAGGCCATGGTTCACGAAACACCAGACAAGACGAATTCACGACGCGATCATCGGGGCGGGGCCTGGCTACAATTCGGCGGGCACGCCACAAAGGAAGTTAAAAAAATCTTAACACCCGAGACGAGAACTCGGTTGTCAATCTTAAATTCTTTGCCAAGGATTCTATACGTTTCCTGAGTCATGGACAGCCTTGTACTTGACAAACAGTGATTCCGTTTGCAGTCGAAAAAAAAAAAACAGGACGTAAGAAAAAGCAGTCTTCGGCAGAGTTTGGTCTATTCTTGCTTCGCCCGCGGTAAGCCTCTGTGCCCAATTCTCATGCCTTCACTTTGAGGTGTTTATCAAAAAGAATCTTACGCGCTCGTTCGTTAAAATGGTATCCACACGGGGGAGAAATCTCTCGTTTTGCTCCCCGCGATGAGCGTCACGTGTTAACAGCGTCACACTTTTCCGCGGAGTCGCGCTGACGTAGACATTCCACGGGGAGGGGGGGGGGGGGGGGGGGGGGAGGGGGCTTTTGCTCGGGCTGCACAAACACTCCTCGCCTTGGCTTGAGATCTCTTTGCAATTGGCCTTATTAATGCGAAAGCATTAGCTGTCCTGTGGAGCGAAGCCGGTGGCGTCTGTAACCGCGAAAAATGGAAAATAAATTCCCATTCTCTCATTGGCTGAGCGGAACGGCAGCTAAATGCCCATTGGCTTCGCCGAGGCATAGTTCAAAGGCACGTCACTCCACAGACAAGCCCTCTCGTGGCGCTGCGGCCCGCGCCGGTAAAAGGAAGAGGGTAGCGCGGGCGCCGCCACCTCCCTCTCCTCCCTCTTGGGTCACGTGTCAAACGTGGCTGGAGGCCCGGAGGGGGGAGGAGGGGGGGGGGCGGGACAGGTGAAGAGGGAGTGGGGAATTCTCGCTCTTCACGTGCTCTACGCTCTGCTTTCAGCCATGTCGCGCCGCGGAGGACAACGGGACGTGCTGCTTGTAGGAGTGCGCGGCGCGCAGTAATGCTTTTGCATTCCTACACTTAACCAGTCTTAGTGTCCTCCTGTAAATTTTTGTCCGCGTTTCTAGCAACTTTACATATTTTGCTCAGCAAGACGCCGGTAGTGACATCGGGATCCTCTAACTTGTGGCTTGCGTTGATGCGGATGTCGTCCGAGGCACCCGAAGGAGTCTTCGATATTCATCAATGCCATCCTGAAGCACCTCCTCATACAACTGGCTTTCGGTTCGTGCTGTACAAACGTGCCGTACCAACACGCCCAAGATTCCATCTTGAAAAATGCCATGCTATTTGTCTTGCATCCACCTATTAAACAAGCATATTCCGTTTAGCAGAAAAGAGTCCGTCATATTCTGCATCTAACAGCACTGCCGCCATAATCGCGTATCGCCTTTTATGCGCGCATTCTCGTAAGCGATCACAGAGCTCTGTTGTCGAGAGTGCGACCACTAAACACGCCTGATAACACTGCATCTCTCTAGGCTCCCCGGCGTTCCTGTGAATGCTTGAGTCGTGAGTGACGTCACTGAGTGGTCCTACCCAACATTATTAGATTACCTCAGTTGTGGAACTCCCGTGAAGGGGGTGCCCCTCCTCACTCTCTTCAATCCGCCAAGCTTCGTTCAAAGCGCCATCTATATTTTTGTTTCATATCTATGCGTTCCAAAGAGCCCAGCTGAAGTGCGAAAGCGCGACCACAACGCCGCCATTTACCCTGCAGCGGTCACTCGAGGAACTGAACCTAACATCAATTTTGGCTTTAATCGGCCATTTGGGAGCCGAAACAGATACAGTGGAAAGGGCTGCAGAGATGCCACCCCCGTCCCCCCAGCGGACGCGCCGCGAATTCACCCCGAAGTTAAGATGAGCCTAGGTCGGGACGCGCTACCTGAAACCACCGCTGAGGCATGGTTGTATGAAAAATATATTATTGTGCCGCAAAACCTAGCAAACTAAAGATTTTAGAAAACATCACGCGTGCCCCATTTTGTACTAAACTCCAATAAACGATACTACAAAAAGAGTTTTTTTTTCCGTGTGTTTTTACGTTTCTAGTAACATTGAAACGTACTTATCCTGATTCAGTTACCAAAGCAGCCGTCTGGCGGCGCGTCGAGCGACGCTTGGCGAGTCGTGGTGAGTGAGGGGGGTACTGTTCGTGCATGCGGCGTCTATGAGCAGTTCCGTAACTAAGCTAATCTAATAACGTTGGTTCTTCCAGTCAGTGACGTCACGCACATCTCACCTCGAAAAACATCGTGATGTGAATACCCACGCCAGGACACATTTTAGGACAAAATGGCGGCTTGGGAGAGTTGGTTATCTTTGTCTTAAGAAAACAGCGCAAGTATGGGGTTACACACAAGCACACGTCACCACCGACCACAAAAGCAATCGTACTTAGTAACACAATCACAGCAGACAAAACACTCACACAGCGCTGATTAACAACTCAATTTATATTTGCACTTCTTTTTCTTCTACGCCTTTTCTATACATTTAGTAAGATTGGCTTCTTTTTCTTCAAAGTTCTATGCAATGACGATCATGTGCGTTTATCGAATAGTGATAGATAGGCGAATGCTTTACGTGTTAATCTGAGCGATGGACTGCTAACACATTTATCGTCATACCTGGCAATATGTTCCTCTTCAACTATCTCTCTAGTCAGTTTGCTACAACTTTTGCCCAGCACTGTACACATATCTAGATGTGCCGCAGATCCGCGATCACGGAGTTGAAGACCTAAATGTCCTTATTTGACTTTAGTTATGCTGTTGTTATGCTCATGAAGTAGGTCGTTTAAACATCTCCCAGCCTGGCCGATATTTCGTTTCCCACAGGAGACGGGAAAGGGATATACTACCCCTCCTGTGCATGAAACGAAACTGGCCTGGTGTTTTTTTTGTGAAGCTCGCTGTATGTTGTAAATGATTGTTAACTTTTTTTTTCCATAAGCTGGAAAGATTGTTTGGAGCCGAGAAGGTGAAATTAATGCTGACCCTGTTTACCACTTTCTTAAGACCATGGGAGACGTTGTGGATGTAAGGCACAACAATGGGTCTAGTTGACCTGTCTCTTGGTTTTCGTCTGATGACAAATTTTTTCTGTTCGCTTATAAGGTTCTACTCCAGTGATGTTAATAAGGAAGTAGGATACCCTGCAGATGACAGGTGACAAACTTGTGCACAGAAACTTGTTTTTATTGGATGTTTGCATGATTTGATAAGTGAGTTTTTAAGGCAAAATTTGACGATGCCCGTCTTAACCAACTTGGAGTGTTGTGCAGAATTGAAGTGAAAGAGCGGCTTGTTTACTCGTGGCTCGTACAACCAGCATACGTGAAAGTCAATAAAATTGTTCGTGGATCCAGGAATCTAATAGACCTTTCAACGGGCAGCTCGTGCGTGAGCTCCCAACAGGTTCATACACTCTTCGAAACTGGACAGAACTTTGGCCATAATAGTAGGAAACTTGCTTTTTTCGACGTCATGGAAGATGATATAATCCTCTACGTAACGAAAAATGTTCAAAACTTCTGGGGAGTCTAAGCTTCTTAGCAACAGTCTATCATGATTCGCAAGGTAAATGACACTGAGCACAAGGGCGATATAAAGCCCTATGCAAACCCCTTGTTATTGCAAGTATGTATTTTCATCCCACGTGACGAACGTGGATTGCAGGTAGGAGGCAACCAACTCAAGAAATCTGTCTTGATGGATGCCCGAAGCGTTCTGGAATGCGATGGTTTCAAAAGAATCAACACTTTTCTCAATGCAGTGTATAATATGGTCCTAAGGTAGTGCGTAGTACAGATCTTTTATGTCAATTGAAAGTGCGTTTATTTTGCTCTCGTTACGCTCAGATAGGAATCTTACTATTT